CGTTGTTTCCCTCAGCAGGTATGTGTGTTCAGTTAAAACTGAGTGTGTGTGTGTGTGTGTGTGTGTGTGTGTGTGTGTGTGTGTGTGTGTGTGTGTGTGTGTGTCCCCTCAGGGAGACTAAGACATGCCGAGGTTTTGTCGTCGGACCTCCAGAAGAACGCTCTGGCAGCTCTGCTGAGGCTCGGAGCCGTTCACAAACTCAGAGGGTTTGTTTTCTTTTCATTCTTTGGCACTTTAAAGACTTCTTATTGGCTTTGAGAACGAACCAATCAGCTCCCTGATTTGCTGCAGAGGGGCGGAGCTAAAGGTGGACAAGGRGATGGTGAACTCCCTGGAGGACACTCTGGGTAAGAACCAACCTGCCTAAATTCAAACGACTTCGACAGTTTCAAACGAATCGTTTTGTGTTTTTTCAGGAGGGAAGCTGCCGACCCAGAAGGTTCCGGTGGCTCGGCTCTGATTCTGGACCGGGTCTCCTGACAGAAGAACCTGGAGACAGCACCACCCAGTCCTCCTTTGTCTTCTGGTTCTTCAGAGTCCTGAGGAGAGGAGCAGCTCAGACACTGAACTCATCATTCATTCATATTTGTCCAATCTAACACTCCTTTGTGTTTGTTCTTTTATCTGAGCTTTATTTTTTACTCTTATCTTTATTTTTTATTCTTATCTTTATTTTTTGTTCTTCTGAGCACTTTTCTTCTTGAACTCGTGCAGCGTGCTGTGGACCTGTAACGTCACTAAACTCACTTTACACACATTTACAAAAGTATTCACCCCCTTTTGGTAAACGTTTTTTCATTTTGTTTCCTAAAAACCTGGAATTTAACTGGATTTTTCTTTGTATTAAAACCAATAATTCTACAAAAACAACTCTAGATGAATGAATCYAAGGGGGCGGGGTTAATTTATTATATTATAAAGCTGAAAAGTGGTGCGTGCGTAAGTCTTCATCCCCTTCCAGTAGTTGGATGTGCGACTAGTTTTTGGGGCTGAATATTTACGTACACTACAAAACTGTCCATCTAATCAAGTTTTAAAGTCTTATATCAGCCAAAAAGTCTTTTTGATCTTGTTTTGAGACTGATTTACTAAACAAGAACTGATTGTGTAAGAATAATCATCTTGTTTTCAGAATGTGTAAGATTTTTGAAATAGGCTACTTGATTTGACTCAATCTTTTTCTTCTTTCAAAAATCTTACA